GATCCTGAAGATGAAACTCAAATACTTTGGCCACCTAATGAGAAGGAAGGACTCACTGGAGAAGAGCCTAATTCTGGGAAAGATTGAGGGCAAAAAAGAAGGGGACAACAGAGAATGAGGTGGCTGGATGGAGTCACCGAAGCAGTAGGCGTGAGCTTAAATATCATCTCCAGGGAATAGTAGAGGACAGGCAGGCCTGGAGGAACATTGTCCATAGGGTTGCGATGGGTCGAACATAACTTTGGGACTTACAACAACAAAGAGTCATATCCATGAGATGGGTGGCTATACAAATTAAATCTGCTGAATTGTGTAGTAAACCATAGAAATACATAAAGGAGTAAGGAATGCAAGAGGTAATGTTTTCCTCTACAGGGACTTGGTTCTCCATCCTTCACTTGTGTCAATCTATCTTGCTGCATTATAAGTGATTTCGAGGCTTTGGTAAAGATTCATATTCTTCTTTATACCTCATTGTGAAGAAGATGAAAATCTCAGCTGTGGAAATTGCCAGTTAAGTGTGAAGACATTTTGTCTCTGTGCATGTGAGAGAAAGTTGTTCTGGCAGCATTGAAGCAAACTAAATAAACTTCAAACAGATCCTTTAAACTAACGCTTCATCTGGCTGAACTGTGAACTAGTTTATAGTGTGTGTTCCCTGCACATTTTTGTTAAAGGTTAACAAAACTGTTTAGACAGCTTTAATTGCTGTGCATCAATCTGCTGAATCAGGTTGATTAATGGAGCTCATTTCTGCAGTGAATTCTTTAATTGCTGCTTATTTAGAAGAGGGGATGGGATGGGATATAATTTTGATTAAGACAGCTGTCTGGATTGTTCATTCATTCACCTTGTGAATTTGCTTTTTACTGGGATGCATTTCATACATGAGTACATAGCCATTCTGTTTGAACCTTTTTCTAAACTGAAACATCACTTTAGAAGGAGGTTATTATCATTTGCATTGGATGCTTGTACACAGAGGTGGGTTCCTACCAGTTCGCACCAGTTCGGTAGAACCGGTTCGTCAAATCTACCGAACCGGTTAGAAGAGGTTCCACCAGTGGACCCNTTTTTATGCTTGCAAATGCTATTTCACAAAAATATTTAACCTTTTAAGGATTGAACTTTAATGCATTTAGTCGTTTAAGTTCCAATAACATAAAACATACACCGGTGTTGGATGGTTTCCACTAACAATAAAAAAACTGAACTTCACTGGGAAACCAACGTTGCTAAAACAGTAATTGCATCTACAATGCTTGGACCTCATAAGTCTTTATTAACAAATGAAGGGTTATATACAAAGATAAATGGCATATTTGCTTGATTTTGTGTGTGCTGATAAGATAAACAATGTGCTGTAAATTGGCAAGGCATCTTCATTGTTTGTGGTAGAATTGGCAGGCCATCAGAGGCAGCGTGGAGCATATAATTACTGTGAAATTTGCAGTTTGTTTGAAGGCCTGGGAAATAGCATCCATCTCTAAAAGTAGTCGTTCTTTCAAAATGTAATGAAAAGGTCATTAAAGAATTTTTCCAACATCAGGCAAGTTTTCTTAGGCTTTTTTTTAACTATATAGAAGAAATACAATTTATGCCATTACATATTTGCATAAAAAGCTATGGCAAGTGTATTATTTACATTGAGATTAACTGGTTGTACAGATTGTAAAGTTTAAATTAGATGCAAGAAACTGTATCTAGATGTGCACCTGCCTGGTACACTGAGCAATTCTTAGCTGGTATTTGCTGGAGAGATAGATTTACAGGAGGTTTTTTTCAACCTTTTAAGTAGGATCAGGCAGTTGGAGAATCTTGCAGCCTTGCTTGGTATATTCTTAAGACCTGTGGGTTTTTTAAAACACACACACAAACGATTAAAATAACAGGATATAGCACCAATGTTACACTGTTTACCATTGCTAATTACAATTAAAAGATGAAACCTACTAGCACACACAAACCATTGGGAAATAAAATATCCTGGTGATGTGCAAGGAAACATTTGTTACCATACAAATGCTCACTACTATTTTAGTTTATCATTTAAAATGGGAGCAGAGCCAAATGTCTTAATATTTCAAGAAAATAAAGAGGAGGAGGTTTAACACAACACTATTTCATGCTGATTATTTGGTCTATGTGGCACAAATAAATAAATGCTCTTAATTGCTTTGATAATAGGCAACTGATAGCTAACAAGAACCAATAATGACACTTAAGTGTTGGAAAGTTTAGATTCTGAAACATGTATTGTGGATTACTATAATAATACAAATGAGTTTATGTCTCTTCAGCAAATTCCCCCTTTTACAATAAATGGAGGTTATTTTACTATTTTCTAATTATTGGTGAACTCACATGTAGTATCCTCATGCTCAGTGTACGAAGAAAGCTGAAAATTAATAAGAAGAGAGAGTTTATCTGTTGGCTTAAATAATAACATTAAACATTCTTATTTCGCACTACCTGAGCAGGATGAGAAGATACAACTTGTTGGCAACCAGTGCTCATATCTAACTAGATCTCACAAACTGTTGTGTCTATGTACCAGCATCCTGAGCAAGACTATTCTCTGAAACTGGTTGGTAGATTGGTAGATCAATAGGAAAACCCTGGCAGCCTCTTTTCTTCTGCCTGCCTCTCAAAGCCAATGAGAATGCTGCCTCCTAGACATTAATTTATCTGGGTTGCCCTCACAGCAGGTCATCAACTCACCTGAGAAAGTCATACCTCCAATTCATGTTAGGAATATGGGGAAATGCTCTGATATCAAATAGTAGTTTCAATACAATACATTTGTGGTATGTGAAATTAAAGAAAAGTACCTTGGCTTTTTAATTGTTTCCAATGTCCTGACCATTTTAAGTGCTGTATTCTGTGTTTTTATTCTATCATTCATGTGCAAGTTTCTTTTTCCAAACTTTTCCCCATATAGCTAGTATTGCACCTGCTACTACTAGTTTACACTGAACAGAATAAGAGGAGGGGAGTGTTGAAAGGAAAGTACATCACCGCATGAATAAGACTGCTGTAGGGATATTGTGAAATCACTTCGGTCTTTTTTTTTAAAGTACATATGGATGGACAAGTTACATTGTTCATAAGCATACATTCCTGCTTTTGCAGACAAGTATTGCAAAAAGTGTGTATGTTCATACCAGTGACGTGCGGTGAGGTTTATGGCTCGTGAGGCAAAAAGAAAGAAAGCAGCTTTTGGCCGCCCCCCTGCTATGTCTGACATAGAGGCGTCCCACGGCTGCACCTGTCCCAAGCCCGGCCCTTTAGGACCTGGCTACCTGAGAGACCGCCTCCTGCCATTTACCTCCCAACGACCAATAAGATCGCACAGGTTGGGCCTCCTTCGGGTACCGTCGAGCGGACAATGCTGGCTGGCGGCCTCTTGGGGGAGGGCCTTCTCTGTAGCTGCACCGGCCCTGTGGAACGAACTACCTGTAGAGATCCGGACCATCACCACTCTCCTGGCCTTCCGTAAAGCCACCAA